TTTTTTGCCCTTCATACTTTTTGCCTTCAATCCACTTTTCATACAATAATAAATCATGTAGTTTAGATAGTAACCAAGTAACTCTCTCCTTGAATTTGTTTTACTGTGGTTTTCTACAGTCTAGCAAAATGCAAATAATATCACTTTTAAGATTCATAATTACCTAAGGAACAAAATAATTATGCTTAGTGTGGTTCATGTATTCAGTCAGGATTTGGGAGAAAATATCAAAAGATTTAAACAAAATATATGTAGACTAAAATGCAAAACAAAATATAAATCTATAAAATATTATTCCAATTTATTCTTATAATTCATGGGACATTGATTAAAAAATCATAATACGTTATAAAACTTTTCCAGGCACTGCCACTTTTTAATTTTCATAGTGAAAGCTCATTTCATTAAGACAAATTATATTCCTTCATTGAGCTCTGCCTTGAAAATTAGAATGTGTCCTCAGGTATGATTTTAACATAACCCCCTAACCTAATACTTGATTCCAGGATTTCTTGGCCTGCCTGCATCTGCTTTGCTTAATCCAATAAATAGAGCTATATTGAAGTGACTTTTAAAGTTTGTGTTGGTTTTAAAAGACTTCTTAAGATTTAAATTTTTAAAAAGAATTTTCAGTGAAAAAGGTAGTCTTGTGAGTGAAACATCAGTAAGGCTAGTTATCTAATTCTGAAGTTACAATATTCTGCATGCTGTATTTGGTTTTTATTGATAGCAATGATAATCACAATGCCGAATATTTTTGGAGCACTGACCTGGTGCTAAAGGATCTTGGTGGGTCATGTTTTGTGCTTTGGCTTGAACCCACTAACCTCCCTGAGGTTGATGGAATGGATTAGTGCTTATGTGTTGGGCGGCTAACCACAAAGTCAGAAATTTAGAGCTTCCCGTTGTTCTTGGGGAGAAAGATTCAGCTTTTTACTCCATAGCCAGTTAAAGTCTCAGAAACTCACAAGGGTAATTCTAACCTATCCTATAGGGTCTCTGTGAGTTAGGATAGACTCTATAGCCGTGAGACTTGAGTGAGTCTTGCTGAGGCAAAAAATTAGGTGTTCTATTTCCATAAAGATTCATAGCCTCTGATTTCTTCTTTGTTCCACAGGGTTGCTCTCAGTGGGGTTCAACTCAGTAATATTGTTCTGGCTTTTAGTTGTTTGTTTTTATTGGGAGCCTTGTGGTACTTCTCTCTGTACTTTATGTACATTAACATCTCATCATCAACATACTTTATAAGATACATAGTATAATTATCTATGTTTAATATATACCACCCACCTATCCGTTTATTGTACTGCTGTGTGCTGTGGTGATGGGGGAAGCCAAGCCATCAATATTTCAGATACTACCAGGATCATCCAGGCAGACAGGTTTCCGGGGAGCTTCCAGACTAGAACAGAATAGGGGGGGAAAACAAGACCTTCTACATTTGAAAGAAGGAAAAAAAGAATTGCAGGAATAGAATCAAAACTTTTGTTCCTTCATTTGTTAGTGTGCCACGACTCAAAATGAGGATCTGCAAGTAGCCTATAAAGTTGAAAAATGGAATGCGTGAAGTATGACTCTAAGAAAAATGGGAGCTGTCAGAATGAAATGGATCACATAGAGATTGATATCCTAGGTATTAGGCCTTAATAAACTGGTATTGGCCATTCTGAATTGAATAATCATGTGATCTCCAGTGCTGAGATTACCACAGTTAAGAGCAATGGTGCCACAATCATTGTCAAAAAGAACATTTTATGATCTATCCACTGTCAGTGTTAAAATAAGATCTGTATACCTATAAAGAAGATTAGTTAATAACATTACTATTGCAATTCACTCATTAACCACTAACAGAGTGATGAAGAAACTGAAGAATTCTACAAATTCTTTTCAGTCTAAAATTGATCAAGCATGCAATCCACTTATAATACTGGCCAACACATATCTTGGTGCCTCACATGTTTGGACATTTTTCTAGATATGTCTGACCTGCTGCGTGGCAGCAGTTTTACCTGATCAGCTCTAGTTTTTGAGCTGATCAGACATGTTTCAGACACCACTCTTGACTCTGCTTTCCCATGAAAAACAAAAAACAAACCTAGAATATTTTACTGTAAGGTTAACAAGACTGAGATTGAGGACGTGCATGCTGGATTTATTTAAAATAGTTTATATTGTAAGCTACTTAGGTCACATATAGTTCACATGATGTCCTTTGATCCAAAGATATATTTAAACAGTCCAAATTGCAAATTATAGGAACTCTGAATTTTCCCCAAGTATCATTTTTCACTTTTACTTGGAACTGAATAACAGGCAGTCAAAATTTGTTATCTTAAAAGGGGGCCAGAAATAAGGGTTACTGTGTGATAAATAAGAAGCCCTGGTGGATGGATTATGTGCTTGAAGGCTAATGAGAGGCCAGCGATCTGAGCCTGCCAGCTCCTCTGTAAGAGAAAGAAGAAATTGTCTGCTTCTCCAAAGATGTGTAGCCTCGGAAACCCACAGGGGAAATTCCACTCAGTCCTCTCGGTCACTATGAGTTATAATCAACTGATTGGTAGTGAGTTCGGTATAACAAATAGAAAATCAAATGCTCTCCCACTCAAACAAGTGCGTCAAATTTCAAACTCCTTTATTAAAATGGAATTGTTCCAGTCTTCTTATAAGATGGCACAACTGCCCGACATGGGCACGAAAACACTTAAAAGGAGAGTTCGAATTTTTCTTATAAAGCCTAGCGTCAACCTCACCTCTGAAACATTTCTCAAGGGTTATCCCCCAATGTCTACATATTGAAATGTGTTCTGAAATGTTCACTGCATAGTTTGAAGAAGAAAAATTAAGCTCTTCAAAATATTTATGAAACTTGCTATGGAGTCTTACATTTTGACATTCTAAGTTGCCCTCACACCTTCCATGTATGTGACTTTACAATTTCCTTTTAAATGTTCCACTCTTCTTAAGGTGTGTTCTAGCTGTGCGGTATCCAACTGTATAATTCCCATATGTACAGCACAGTCTCCCATGCCAAATGCAAACTCACCGCCAGCAAATCACTTCTAACTCATCGTGACTCCATGTGACTGAGCACACTGCCCTTGGATTTTCCAAGTCGTTAAATCTTTGAAAAGCTTCAAAGTGACTGGTGGTTTGAAATGATGATTTGACAGTTCATTGTGTATCCAATTAGCCGCTATGGGTGCCTATACAGCTTTCCTTGGAAGTACTTTAAAACAGAATTCTTTTCCAAATATTTTTTACTGTTTTTATCTTATCCAGTGGTTTAAACTTTCTCATTTAAAACTAGGAGAATAAATTAACAAATTAGTAAAACTTAATAGCTGAGTGGAACACCATATATAAGACACAGGAGCTGATGTGGTCTCTCCGATGCAATGTTCTGACTCAGTGCCCCCAGCTAATCCCTAAATATACCTAAAATCAAGACACCAAGAAAAAACAATTGGGCTATGTTCTGGTGACGAGAATGCAGAAGTGTAGAAACAAAGAAGGACCAGGAGTTGGAAAATACAGCCTTGGTGGTAGCAATTATGTTAAGTACTCCATAAATGAATCTTGAAAAATTAATGACTTGTTCATAAGTGAGGACTATACACATGGAACTCCTGAGTGGATTACACATTAATGAAATCAACTACTTCTGTGAAAAGAGACAATGGAGAAAATTAATGTCCTTAGTCAAAACCAGGTGTTGACTAGTTGAAATTGAAAAAGAATTAACCAAATTCACAAGAGCCAAAATATGACGATGAGTGTAGCTCATCTGAATGTAGATGACATCTTTAGTACAGATTTCTCATTGAATACTGAGGACGACAGACCAGGTGAAATGTTGGATGATATATTAGGTATAAGAAAAGGTATGTGTATAGATATAGGAACAGGTACATGTATAGATATCATGCAGATGTATCTATCAGAGAGGAATAAATAGCATATATATATATATATACATATATATATACACATATATATACACATATATATATACACATATAAACATCATCATGAAAGAAATAAAATATGACAATATATGTCAGAATAGACTCTAAAGCCCTCTATTGGACATAACCCAGTTAAAGAAAAAGAAATTAAGTAAAATAGTTGAATAAACAAATCAAACTCATTTCTTGTGTGTTGATACCAACTAATGGTCACCTATAGGACAGAGTAGAACTGCCCCTATGGGTTTCTGTAACTCTTTCTAGAAGTAGTCTCCCACAGAACTGTTGGTGGTTTTGAACTGTTAGCATCTCATTGTATAGCCCACTATATGCAAAGAGCTGAATAGAGCTGAATAGGATATTTCAAAGGCAGCATGAGAAGACAAAGTATAACAATCAATGTGTAAAAACCTGATGTTAAAAAACTAAAAAATTCAAAAACTAAAAGAGAAGAACACAACTGATATTTCTCATGATGAAAGAACTGATGAAAGCTGTCAAGCCTTGTGTTGAAATTCTGAAGGACTCTGTAGTCTAACTACGGAAGGAGGCAGGAAGGCTTACAAGACGATGGAAGGAATACACAGAACTATAGTACCAGAAAGAATAAGTTAACATTAAAACATTTCAATATGTAGCACGTGATCAAGAACCTATGATTTTGAAGGAAGAAGTTCAAGCTGCACTGGAATCATTAGTAACAAACAAGACCTCAGGAATTGCCAGGTGAAATGAATTATTTCCACAGATGGGTGCATAAAAGTGTATATCACTCTCTGTGGCAAGAAATTTAGAAGACAGCTAGCTACTAGGTCAACTGATTGGGAGAGATCCATATCTGGGCAAATTTCAGAGAAAAAAGGATGCAACATAATGCAGAAATTTCAAACAATGTTGTGTTATGCCAAGCTGATGAGAGAAACAAGTCCAACGACACTCATATATGTGTAAGAGAGAGCTTTGTATCAAGAAGTAGTTATTTATCAGGAAAACAAGTCCAGATCAAGTCCAGCAAGTCCAGATCAAGATAGTACTCCATAAGTCCCTCTTCAGACTCCTGCAGTCACACACATGGTGCAAAATGCAGGAAGATCACAGGCCAGTGGGTGCAAAGTCTTGTGGCTCCAGTGGTGGTGGACACATCTTCAGGGCTCCCACAGGGATCCAGCACATCTCCAAGTGTCCCAGTAGCAGGAAGGTGAATCGGAGGGGGAGGTGAATTATTTGCATGCTGAGCAAATCATCCAAGAAGCTGAAGTACATGAAGGAGAAGGATTGAAAGAAGACTCATTAACCTGCCAGACGCAGCTGACACAATTTTGCTTGCTGAAAAAGAAGAGGGCTTAAAGAATTTACTGATAAAAATCAAAACTATTCTATCAATTAAACTTCAGCATCATAAAGAAAGCACTAAACCTTACAACTAGAACAAAAAGCAACATCATGATAAGCAGAAAAGATTGAAGCTGTCAAGGATTTTATCTTCTTTGGATCTACCATCAATACCCATGAAAGAAGTGATCAAGAAATGGAAAATCTCCTGCAAAAGCCCTCTGTAACATGATGAAACATAAAGACGAGGTCATTGAAAGACTAAACTGCTCCGACACAACACGTGGTATTTTCACTCATCTCATGTGCATCTACAATCTGGGAAATGAGCGTGGAAGACTGTAGAAGACTTGGAGCCTTAAATTAGGCTGTTGGCAAATAATATTAAATTCATCATGGATTGTCAGAAGAACGAACAAATCTGTCTTGGAAAATGTGAAGCCAGAAAACACTCCTTACAACTAAGGATGGAGCTATTTCTTATTATGCACTTTGGACATGTTATCAGGAGCACTCAGCTGTGCCTAGTAAAGGAAAGGGTCATTGAAGAAGAGGAAGATCCACAGCGAGATAAATTTGCAGTGTTTGCAACAACAGGCACGAACAAGGAAATGATTGTGAGGGTAGTGCAAGAGTAGATATCATTTCATTCTGGTGTTCATTGAACTGACATGAGAACATCTAATAGCAAAAATAAAACCCTTTAGCTATGAGGAAACTGTTACAGAAATTCAAATTCAAAGCATCAGTTCTGAAGTGGATTGAACACTTTTGTTTTTTCCCCGAGTAGCACTGCTTTCAAGAATTTCTCATAACACTAATGCTTGAAATGGCTTTTGGGCCCAGACAGAAAAATCTCATTATCATGAGAGATAGGAGCATGAGAAATACTTATTCATATTGAAAATGTAATGAAAATAAGATCTCTTCCAGATAAATTTTTTAATATTAAATGTAGTGATTTAAAGAATTTCTAATGATTATAATTCTCTTTGCTATCATACTCTAGAAACTAGAATATTTCTTAGTTTTAAGAAAAATGTACACTCAAAGAATTATTATCTCCTAGGACATATCTGCACTGTGAATGA